GCGTCTAATTCCCTGCGAATTCAGCCGCGTGGAGGGTTGGCACCCTCAATTCTTTGGCGCAGAAGGGGTGGGGGGGGCTCTTGCAGCAAGCTCCCGAGCATCGCGTGTCGCTCCAATCTTGGCTGCACTCTCGCGCCTCCGGAAGACGTCAAACACTTCGGCGTGGCGAGAGGCGGCGGCGGCGCCCTGCGGCGCAGTCATCCCGTGCGCGCAGATGCGGCGGACCGCCAGCTCGGCCACCCGCTTAACCTCGTGCAGCGGGACGGAGGAGGCGACGTCCGCCTCGGCCCCGCTGCCCGCAGCGAGGCGCACCAGCCTGGAGGAGCGGCACAGCGGGCTGAGGGGGAGAGAGCCGCGCCGTGTCCTCGGAGCAGCGCGTGAAGACCCGAGGGCTGCGAGTGCAGCGGATGCGGCAGGCAGCCGAGGACAGCCGAGGGCGTGCGCTCGCGAGTGATGGTACGGCCTCCGCATCTCTCCGCATCTAGAATGCAGCAGACTCGCGCAGCTGCTCCGCCGCGAGCTGCCAGTGCCGCTGGGCGAGCACCTGCGGGACGGCTCTGGGACGGCTCGGAGAAGGGTCGGCGGCGCGCGTGTGGAGCTGCGCGCGGGGTTAGCGCCGGCTCGTGCGACAGCTCCGCAAAGACGGCCCGCTTCGTGTGGTGCCGCGCGGCCAGCTGCGGCGCGGTGGCCTTCGGTGGCCGAGCGCGCCGCGCCTTGGATAGGTTCCGAGACGGGTGAGGGGCACTGGAACCGGGGGCAGGGAGGCGCCTCTGGAGGGCGTGCGCGCGCGCCTCGTCGCGGTAGTACGCCGCCGCCGCCTCGAGCAGCACCTTGACGCCGCGCGCGAGCGAGGCCGCGTCCAGCGACGGCGGGGGCCCGTCCGCCGAGACGACGAGCAAGCTGCGCGGCTCGAGGTCGCAGGCACGCCGGAGGGCGGCGATGCGCTCCTCGGAGGGCGGCGCGGGCGACGCCTCGCCCGACGCCTGCACCAGCACCAGCAGCAGGCGACTCCGTCCCGACGCATTGCGGATCGCGCCGATCTGCGCGGCGACGCCGGTCGCAGAGGTGGAGTCGTCCCACGACGCGAGGAGGGCGGCCGCGCCGGCGATGCAGTGGGTGTGCTTGTGGAGCCAGCCAGGCTTGAGCACCAGGTTCGCCGCCTCGCCGCTCGGAACCGGCTGCGCTTCGACGTATGCGCCGTCGCTCGCAAACGAGAGCACGCGCGGCTTTGGCTCGGCGGCCGCAGCGGCCGCCTGGAGTGCGCCGTGAAGATGCGGCATGCCGACCAGCGCCAGCAGCGGCGACGGCGGCGCGGCGTGGTAGTCGTCGAGGCAGTCGCTCGACATAGGGAAAAATCGGGCGGTGAGTGCGCTCTGGCGACGCAGAGACGCTGCTCGCTGGCTGTAGGCTGGCTCGCACAACTCCCGGAGAGAGAAAGCGGATAAAACAAGAACAGAAGCGCCATCTCACATTACGAGGGATACGGAGGGGCAGGGGAGAGGCAGACTCCCTAGGGTGGGCGACGGCTAGCGCACCACACACCTCTCCTTAAAATCCCTGTGTGGTGGCGGCGTGCCGTCCTCCCATCCCTCCCTTGGGTTGTGTGTTTTCTTTCTTTCTTTCTTTGGATACGGAGGGGAGCACAAATAGGACGCCCAGCCTTGCCCTCGTGCCGCCGAGTGCGTATCCTATGCGAGAGAGATCCCCTGTGGCAGTGCCCGTGCCCAGCCCTCTCCGCGCCGCGATGCGCCCTCCCCCCTCGCTTTTGCAAAATCCTGCAAAGGTGGGGACGTGTCTGTCCTCGACCCAGCCCTAGCTTGGGATGTCCGTTTTATTTATTTATTTATTTAGGGGACATTCTGCAACAGTGCAGTGAGGAGTTCAGGCCGGGGCCCGAGCCCCTAGGGCGACAAGACATGCGCATAGGGCGGTGAAGCGCGGTGGGGGGCCGAATTCGAAGACGAAGAGGAAGAGAGTATCTCCGCAGAGCGCGAAGTCTCACAGCAATCACGGATCGAGGGTTGGCACGAGCGTAACCAGCAAGTGGTTAACACGATGGCCTTCTGAGCCAAGTTATGGCGACGGCCCGCCATGTGGTCAGGAAAGGTGAAAGAAAGAAAATAGCCGCATGAAATTCTTCTCTCTGTTCACCCTTGGGTTTCTTGCCGTCGTCCCTGGGCAGTGAGCTGGGAGGGGTGAAATCTCTCTGATCCGCTTTGTCTACACCACCTATGCTCCCGTCACGGGCGTCATCCGACGTCGTCTCGCCGTCGCCCATTCCGCTCGCGCTCGCCCTCCTTGCCGTGCTACTCGCCGCGCGCGTCGCGTTCGTCTGGCGTCGCGGCCGCTCCCGCCGGCCAGCTGGCGATCCTCCGCTCCGCACGCTCGTGGTGCTCGGCTCGGGAGGCCACACCGCAGAGATGCTTGTGCTGCTGCGCGCGCTGCCGCCAGAGGCGTACGCGCCGCTGCTGTACACCATGGCGGCGTCGGACACCACGAGCGCCGCCAAGGTGGCCGCCTTTGACGCCGAACGGGCGCGGCGGTGCGGCAGGAAAGCGCTGCTGCCGAGCGAGATGCTGCGGGTGCCGCGCAGCCGCGAGGTGGGGCAGTCGTACGTGACGAGCGTGGCGACGACGCTGCGCGCGCTGATCGCGTCGCTCCTCCTCGTCTGGCGTGCGCGGCCCGACCTGCTCCTCTGCAACGGCCCCGGCACCTGCGTGCCGCTCTGCGCGGCGGCGTGGAGCCTCCGGCTCGCGGGCGTCAAGCACGTCGAGGTGGCTTTCGTCGAGTCCTTCTGCCGCGTGGAGTCGCTCTCGCTCTCGGGCAGGATCCTCATGGCCGCGGCGCGCGCCTCTCTCCGCGGCGCGCTCGCCCTCCCGCCCACCACCGCCTCACACCGCCCGCGCGCTCACGCCCGCGGCAGGCGCGGCTCGGGCTCTGCCAACACTTTCTGGTGCAGTGGCCGCAGCTGGCCGCGAGGTACCCGCGCGCAAGGTACCTCGGGCGCCTCTGCTGAAACAGACAGCATTTCCTCGAAGCTTTGAATCTGATTTGATTTTGAACTGTGTTTTTTTTAAATCTGCTTTGAATGTGCATGGTTTCTGTGTGCCGACCGCTGAACAACTGGCGGTGTCTGAGTGTGGTAAGCTCCTTAGGCGAGGTATTCCTTCTCAATCATGGTATTTGAATCTGCTAATCATGAAGAAGCTTAAACCAGAAAAATCGGCTCACGCACACGCTGTCTTTTCTCTCTCAGACTCAGTGTTAGAGGGGATATGCAGATATCGCGCCCAGCTCGAATCTGTCACGTTCCTGTGGGTACCGAGCCACGCGGGGTGCGCTAGCAACGCCTACGCCGACGCCGCGGCGACGGCATACATGGGGGCCAGCGAGATTGAGGATGCCACCGCCGTCATCCGTGAAGCAGTGAGGACACGCCCCTGACGCCCGTGCCTGTACACGGACCGCCGGAGGATGGCAGACAGAGAGTGGGGGCGGGAGGTACTGGACCGGAGGACCTATTACGCCACACGCGGCCACACGAACGAGTGGGTGCGAGGACGGCTCGGCGAGGGGCTCACGGCGGGGTCGCACACGGCAGGGGTGACGGGGCCGCTGTGGAGCGATGTGGTCAGGGGAACAACGAGACACAAATGGGACAAGCGCCAGCGGATCAAGGATCAGCACGGCGAGCGCGAGATTGAATTCGCCGACGTGGATGATCACAACGTGGTGACAAAGACCGTCATGGGAGCGCGGGTGCGGCAGCAGGCGGGGGTGCCACACGGAGCGCACCACGAGAGGATCATGCGGGGAGAGGCGGGGAGAGATACCCCGGGAGCCGCCCCAAGGAGCGAACTCAGGGGCTGCCTCGTCTGTAAGGCCGCGAGGGACGCGGCGAGGAGGGCGGCACTAAAGCGAGACCCGCTGTGTCCGATCGTGCGGAAAGCCGCGCAGCAATGGACCGAGGAAGATGAGAACCCGCCTAGGGCGACAATGGCGCACTTGCTTAGCGGCGCCTGCCTGGGGAATAGGGAGCAGGCCAGATGGTTCCTCAGAGTAGCGCGAGCGCAGACGGGGACGGCGATCAGCAAAGTAGCCCAGGCGGCACCCGACTCCAAGGATACACTGAAGACGCTGAGGATAGCGCATGTCGCTGCGCTGAAGGGCTCACGCTTCCTATAGGGTGCTGGATGAGGACGGGTACGAGGCACTAGCCCCAGCCGTCGGGGGGGTGTTGCCAGCACTGGTAGATGGCCTCTCGGAGAAGAGCCGGAGGGACCTTGGCGCCGGGGTCACGAGGAACTTGCAAGTCGTGGCCGAGGCGGCGACGGGAGCGGTGCAGAGGTGGATCCAGCTCATGATCGGAATGGACGGCAACGAGGGCATCCTCGGCGGCACCGGCAAGGTGCCCCGCGGCTCCACGCCGTCGACCACAGACTCGGTGCTCGCCGCCTGCATACATGCGGCCTCCTCCCCCGCTCGCCGCTCAACCGCCAGTCTCCCGCCCTCCTGTTCAGGGCGCGACGGCCAACGTCGTGCAGACAGCCAAACGGCTTCGCGCGGTCGGACCGACTTTTTCAGACTGAACTATTCTGGGCACCAAGGGTATGTGCTGCTAGATCTCACTGAGCTGAGCTCATATCTGCCCTCAGTATCCTGTTTTGGGTTCGGGAATGCCTTCAGTATCCTGTTTCCGTGTACGGAGGGCCGTGTCCAGACGCGCATGACGTCGGCCGGGACCCCCCGTGCGGGGGCCTTCCGCGCTTGGCGGTTGACGCCGGCCCGCCACTGCGCCCAACCCCTGCCTAGACGAGTACAGCTAAAGAGTACCCGGGGCTCCCCATGCGGAGACCTCCGTGTGGGGGCCCGTGAACATCTTCAGCTTGTGAGCCAGGAAAAGGGTTGCACTGCGCCTCGTGCGTGCGCGTCCACCTCCGTCGAGGTCGACGCGTCGAGATCGGAGCGCATCACCGAGATGCCAGAGCCCGCCTTCGCCGACATGATTCCCCGCCGGATAGCTCGGTGAGTGGTGCCGTGGGGTTCTGTGCCGTCGCCCGAAAACGGAAAACCGGACACGGGAAATCGGTTTTCTCGGCTGGCTCCCGGGTACCCGGGTAGAGCTCTACGGCCACTTCGCTCCACAACACCTCCCGCCACCCCTGCCGTGTGTGATCCCGGCCTCACTGTCTTTCGATATTGCTCGCACATTCACTCGTGCGCGCTCTTACACAGCGATGGACGACGGCCTTGGCCTCATCGGCGACGACGGCTCGGGCCCCGCCGGCAGCGCCGCCGCACGGGGCCGGCGCAAGGCCAAGGCCAAGGCGCACGCGTTTGAGATCGTGAGGCCGTGGCCGTCCCTGCAGCGGCGGTGCGACCCCGGCGGGAAGCCGGCGCGGAGCGGCACCCTCGCGACGCACTGCTCGCTCCTGCTCACCTCGCTGCTCGAGCACCTGCACGCGCGCGAGCATCACGAGGCGATGGCGACGCTCGCGCTGCTCATGCGCGAGTTTTCGCGGCTGGCGGGCACGGTGGCGCAGGCGGGGCTGCTGCTGCTGCGGCTGTCGCACGGGGCGGAGCTGCCCGAGCGGCGAGTCCTGTTCCTCCGGCGGGTGGCACGCTTCGACACCGTCCACCGCCACGCGCTGCTCATGGAGCTGGCGCTGGAGGAGGCGCCGCCGCCGCCTCGCCTCCGTCTCCGTCTCGTCCTCCTCCTCCCCTGCCCTCACTCTCGCCGCTGCGTCGCCACCAGGCGCGGCGCGGGCAACACGAGGCGGCGAGCCAGGTGCTGCTCGCCGAGCTGTCCGACCGCCGCAAGAAGCGCCGCCAGCCCGAGGAGGCGCCCGCCGACACGGCCGCGGAGACGGGCACCGAGACGGAGGGCGAGGCGGCAGAGGAGGCGGCAGAGGCGAGCCCCGCTTGGGAGGGAGGGGCGGGGCGGAGGCAGGTTGTGCGGGGTCTGAGCCGCCTCGGCGAGGGCTGTAGGGCTCCGGGCGAGACGAGCGGCGCCAGCGCGCCCTCCTGCACGGCTTCGCCGGCCTGGCGCTCCACGGCGTTGTCCGCGCAAAGCTGCCTGTGGCGGCGGCGGCGACCCCTGCGGGCGGATGGATGGCGTTCGAGCTTCCGCCCGCGGGATGGAGCGCTCGTGGGGAACAGCCGCTGGCCGCCGCTGCTGCAGCCTCCGGCGATGGCGGCGGCGGCAGTGGCGGAGGAGGAGGTGGGTCGACCCTCGCTGCAGCAGCCGACGCTGAGGAGGGCGGCGGGGAGGAGGGCGGTGGTGCGGCGCCGAGCGGCGACGTCGGCAGTGCGGCGCCTCTGCTCGTCATGGGCGTAGAGCTGGACCGGCCTGTCCGCCTGCACGCGCGTCCCGCTCTCCCTAGGCGCGTCATTTGGCGCGCGCCAGGCGGGAGCTGCCCGACAGCACTCTGTACGCGGCTTGGGAGGGGGAGCTCGTCTCCCCCTCCGTCCTCACCCCCCCCCCCCCCCTCCCGCTGTGCCTCCCTCCCCCCTCCCCTCCCTTCCTCGCCTCCCTCCCTCGCCTCGCTGCCTCTCCACCGCGGCCCGGGTGCGAGCAGGCGCAGCTGCTCTCGCACGCGGGACGGCTCGACCAGGCGCACGCAGTGCTGCTCGACGCCGCCGACGCGGGGTTGCGCAGCGCGCCGGCCGAGGAGATGATCCTCCGCTGGCTCGAGCGACACCAGCCGCACGAGCGCGCCGCTGCCTGGCTCGCGGCAGAGAGGCTGCTCGAGGCGGACCCGGCGTCGGACGTGGCGGAGCGGGTGCTGGACGAGATGGTGAGCGGCCGCCGAGTGTGTGTGGGGGGCGGGCATGCTGCAGGGGGAGGTGGCGGGGAGGGCGGGGAGGCGGGCCGGAGAGGGGCGAGGGGGGCAGAGAGGGTGCGGAGGGAGGCTGGGGAGACGTGCCATCCCCGCGCGCCTGCCGCCCACCACCACTCGACCCGCGACACGCCACGGCACGCCGGCAACGACACGGCACGGCTCGCCGGCAACGCCTCCGCGGTCCGCTCTCAGGCCTTGGCCGCCGCGAGCCCTCTCCCGGCGGCGCCGGGCGAGGAGCTCCCCTTGCTCGGCCGGTTGCTGGCAATGAGTGCGGCGCGGGTCGAGGCGTTCGCTCGCTAGCCTCGATCGCTAGGGCCTCTCTCGCCGGGCTGCGTGCACTCAGCCTCTCTCGCATGGCGATTGGGTGGCGCCGGCATACCGTCGCGCAAGCTCCGGGCGATCTGCAGCCGGGTCAAAGCGCGCCCCGCCCTCCTGCCGCTCGTCAGGTGCGCGCGCACGAGCTTGCGGCGTGGCGGCGGCTGACGCGGTTGTTGCTGCGAGCCGGCGCGGGCGACGGCGAGGAGGGCGCGGAGGAGGGCGGGGAGGGCGGCGCCGCTTCCGCCGTCGCGGAGTGGTGGGGAAGCGTCTGCGATTGGTGGCCGCACTGGCCCTTTGAGGATGAGCGCACGCCCGACGAGGCGGCGCCGCCGGCCGCCTCGTCGCTGGTGCCGTTTGGAGTGCCAGGTCGGCAGTGAGCAGCCGCACCGCTCACTGAGAGGGGCACCTCCATGACATGTCCACGACATGTTCGTACAGGCAGCCACGGCGAGGCGGCCGCCGACGCGGCCGGCGCATTGGCGCGTGAGCGTGCCGAGTGCGCGTACGCATTGGTGGACGCGTTGCGCGCCGCTGGCAGCGAGCTGCTCGCGCCGACGCAGGCCGCGCTGCCGCGATTGCTCGCGCTCTGGCGTCGCGACGGCGCCAGAGATTGGGGCGCGGTGTTCCCCGCGCCCGCTCCGGTGCTCCTCCTGCAAGGCCCAAGCTCTGGCGGCGGCGGCGGCAGTGATTGGGCTCAGCTGGGGTCTTACAACAGCGATGCCGAGGCCGCTGAGGAGAGCGACGCGAGTTCGGTACACCGCCATCGGAAGCAACGGAGGAGGTAGCACCTCTACGTCAATCTCCGCCATCGGAAGCAACGGAGGAGGTAGTTTCCCAGGCAGCAACTCTACGTCAATCTGCGCCAGCGCGGTACACCTTGTGTGTTCCTGGATGCACACATCCGTAAGCGTACCTTATATGGATCGTGCGCCGGATTCGGTCTCCGATTGCGACTAAAAAAGCCGCGACGTCCGACGATTTATGTGTGTCGTGTGTTTGATGTGTGTATATTGTGACGTGACAGAGCTGGACACCCCCCCCGCGGCCGCGCGCCGCGCGCCCGCCCGTTGGCGTTGAGCGTTGGTTTGGTATATGAATTGAAATCATGTGCCTCATCGGTCATGGATACGCCCATTCATACAAACCCCCAGATCTCGACGGCAACAATCTCAAAATCTTCGGACGAGGCGAGGCACGGATTGCCAAAGGTAGAGCTGGTGTTGCTCGATCCGTATGCCAGATTCGTGTCCAGCCAGAGCCCAAACATGCCTCCACCTCCCAGGCCGAGTGAGTCGCGCGCCGCCATGATGTAGTGGCTGTTGACTCTCGACCAGCGGTACACCTCGACTGTCGGGTACGCGCGAAAGAGGAAGGTCTCGCCCGTCCCTATAGTTTGGCCCGGACAGGCCTCAGGGAGCTCACATGCAGCCGAGCGAAGGGGCTGCACAGCGTCGTCCGTGCCGAAGTAGGCGAGGCGCGCCTGGACCTGCAGAGGCTGTGAGAGGAACGCGCCGAAGGTGTAGCCTTTGGAGTCCATCACGAGGAGGATGGTCGGCCCAGGCCGCTGCTGGCACATTCGGTACGCGTTGGATAGGGCGCCGTCGTCCTCGGTCGTGAAGATTCGCGTCCACTCGCGGATAGAGAGCGGGGCAGGCAGGTGGCGCAAGAGCTCGTCCCGGAGGTGCACGCTCAAGAGGATGCGCCGGGCCCGCTCCACATCAAAGTCCTCCCCCCCGAGCCTCATGGCCTGTAGGAGGGAGGCGAACTGCTGGGCGGAGGTGGGTACAGTGTTTGGTTTGCCAAGCCGAGAGAGAGAGCCGAGAGAGAGAGTGAGAGAGAGAGCCGAAAGAGAGAGCCGAGAGAGAGAGAGCCGAGAATGAGGGTGAGAGAGAGAGCCGAGAGAGAGTGAGAGATAGCCGAGAGAGGTGGGTGCGAACCGCGATCAGCCGCAGGGCTGCCCTCCGCATTCGTGACACGTCGGCGTTGAATTCGCCGCCGGAGCCGTCCTCGTTAATCTCATGTAGTTCTGTCCGCCGCTCGCTGGTCTTGGTCGCGTCAAAAGCTGGGGCCACCAGCGGCCCAGCCTTTGCAACACCAGCCTTTGCGACCGCCTTCCACCGCTCTTCCCGAAGCTCACGCAATGGCGTCGCGACAGCGCTGCGGCGAACGGACGCACGCACCTCGAGGGCATGAAGACGGCTCGCCATTCGCGCCTCGGATGGCGATCTGCAGCACGTGCACACCATCGCGATCGGGGGACGCACGAGCCCGTGTTTGGTTGGTTGGTTTGTTTTGGCTGAGCACTTGAGCACTGGATAGGGTCGATTCCGCATGGTACGGGACCCCTCGACCGCGATTTATTGTTACGTAAGGCGGTTTGATTCCTTTCTTTCTCCAGGCAGGCCTGAACTCCTCACTGCATTGTTGCAGATGTCCCTCGCTTGTTAAAATGTGAGAGTGTGACACTGATAAACTGAAGATGCAGACGAGAGACGTGACGGTGCGAGAGCCGAGACGAACGTGGCGGGTCACGGACCTCTTCAAATGAATGTATCTCTTTTGTATACTTTTAGCTCTCTCTCTCTCTCTTGTTGTTTTTGTTCTTGTGTATAGGAATTCAAACGCGCTGATTAAAAACGTAGTATCCTACATGTACCACCGTAGTTGAAAAAAGCGGGGTTATAACTAACGCCCCAGCCACACGCCCAAGCTAAGAAACCACGGCGTGGGGTGGGTGGGGTGTCTGGAAAGGCTTAGAAGCGGCGGCGTGCCGCCGCGAGATCCTGTTTTCTTAATGCCCGCACAACAGACTGTATATACTATATTCCCGACCCGCGAGCACGACGACTACGACCCCGGCCCCCTCGCAGCGCATCACCATCAGGCGCTTGCGCGACAAGCGCGGGCTGTCCGACCGCTCCTCCGACGACTCCTCCTCCGACCAACAATCATGCGGCTCCGGCTCTACTAGCGAGGCGAATGACATTTTCGACACCCTCGACGCCTCTCTCGGCTACGGTTCGACTCCGGCTCCGGCTGGTAGTTTGGCCTTTGCCCTTTGTCAGAGTTTCCGGCAACCCAGAGGAAACCAGAGGGTCCCCAGCAGTTTGAGTTTCCGGAACGCAGAGAGTTCTTGTTAGCCGTGCGCTTTCTCTCTTTCTTTCCACGCGCCAGTTCGCACCTGTGTCGAGCCTGTCTGCTGTGAGATCGGGTTGTTTTGTTTAAAATCTCTTTCTTTCCCGAGTTTTCTCGCGAGAGCGAGCGCCCGCCGAGCAATGCCGTACGCATGCCCTCCGTACGAGTGCGCTGCGGGCCGGCCATTTCGTTGGGCAGACCATTTCCTGGAGAATGGCGCCGCCTGGCGACCTTGCGACGGCGGGTTGCTGCCGGGCCTCAGTCGCGCAGCTAGCCACAAAGCGCTGGCACGAATCCAGGAGGTACCTTCCATGCGGGCTGCTGCCGAAGAGACTGCAGACGTGGTCGTCGTGCACTGTCGGCGGCCCCTTTCCTTCTTGGCCGGGCTGCTGGCGCAGCTGTCGCGGCAAGGCGTCCGTCGGATTCGGAAGCTGGTGGTGATGTCTCAGTGCGGCAGCCCTGTACCGACGAGCGATCTCCGTCTGCTCGCGGAGACGGTCAGGGTGCGCACGTCGCGCAACGTGGGGAGGTGCGACCACGCGTGGCTCAAATACATCCTCGACGCGTACGACACGCTAGCACCGCTCACAGTCTTTATCAAGGACTCCTGGGGCACGCCCTCGCAATCGCTCTTTGAACGTTTGCCTCCGGAAGAGCTTGTGAGGATGGCGCTTGAGCAAGGGTTTGGGTGCGCCTACCAGGCTCCCGAGTGGCACAGCGCGCCCACTCTTCGTCAATTTACCATGAGCGGCTACCTCAAGTCACATGACCAATCTGGCTCTAACCAGTCCAGAGCCAGGTTTCGCGCCGCTATCCGGCCGTGGGGTGCGTGGGCGGACCTGATGGGGATGAGTCTCTGGATCAAGGAGCGGCCGTTCCTGCCCGTATGCTACGGGGGCGGCTTCGCAGCGACGGCCTCGGCGGTGCGAGCTGTGGCGCGTCCGGTGTGGGCTCGGATGGAGCAGAGCCTGAGGCGGGCAGACAACATCGAGGAGGGCCACTACATGGAGCGATCTTGGGCGTTGCTGTTGTACCCGCGCCTGGCGCCGCACGTCTGGAGCCACTTACGCTGCGTGGCAGAGGGCGCCACCGAGAGCGGCTTTCCGTTTGCCGGCGCGCTCGCGATGTGCAGCACGGCGCAGGCAGCGGCGTGTAGCGCCAGCAGTGGGCAACGCTCGATAATGAATAGGACTACAGGGTAGGGTGTCTGACTCTGAGGGGTGAGGAGACGATGGACCATGAAATCTGTCCGGTCAGAGGCAGGCTCAGCTGCTCTCGGGTGATCTCGCTTTGGTGGCCGAAGGACCCGATGGTCCTGTCACATTCTTTCTCTTCGCGGCGGAGTGATCCAGACAGTCGCCCCAGCGTGCATGTTACCGGGCTTTATCGCGACGACGCCATTTTTTCGTTTTTCATTGAGAACGGGTGAATTGAATTTTCTGCTCACTAACATCTCAGCCTCGCACGAGAAGAAAGAAAACAGACAACCCAAGCGCCAAGGGAGGGATGGGAGGACGGCACGCCGCCACCACACAGGGATTTTAAGGTGAGGGGTGTGATGCGCTAGCCGTCGCCCACCCTTGGGCGTCCGCCTCTTCCTATGTCTTTTCGCAGTAACTCGCGCGAGAAAACCTCCGTATGAAAATTCTTCTGGGGTCGGGGTGGGGTGTTTGTGGTCGGAGTGAGCGGCGACGACGGAGTCTCGCATGGACACCGACCCGCTGCTGTGGGATCGCCGCCTCGCCGCTCGCGCGCGCTGCACCGCCGGCATTATCGCGCGACTGCTGTGCGAGGTGTGGCCAGCATATGTTCGCAGCCCGCCCCGCCGGTGGTGCATTAGTTACCAAGCATTCGTTCCGCGTCCCGGCAGGCCATCATCTGGCTGGGCCTGATCATCTTGATGCTCGAGGAGGTGCGCCGCCTCGCCAGCTCGCCGGAGCTGCACTCGTACGGTCCTCCTCTCGCGAACGGGACGCCGCCGCTGGTCCAGCTCATCCTGCTGAACGCGGGCGAGACACAGGACACGAGGTTCCCTTGCAACGGGCTCCTTTCGTTTCGCGGCGTGGCGGACCCGCTCCTCAGCGCGCGCGGCGCGGCGCAGGCTGTGGCCGCGGGCCAGGCTGTGAGGAGGGAGGAGATGGCGCCCGGGCCGCCGCTGATGGAGCCACACACACCCACCGCAGCGGCCACACCCGTACCGTGATTGATAGGAGCCGGTGGCGGTGATCGCCTCCTCGCTCCTCGCAGCGCAGCACCACGCCCTCCTCGCCTTCCCGCAGCATCACGCACAGCCCTCGCGGCGAGAGACCGACTCCGCCGCAGCCAACGCCACCGCCGCTGCGGCTTCCGTCGCTGCTGAGGCTGCCGCCGCTGCGGCCGCCACCGCTGCTGACCATGCCTCCGCCTCCCCGTCTGCTGCCGCCTCTGCCGCCTCTGCCTCGAGGCGACGTCGCGTCTTTGTCGCCCCGCACCTCGCCGCGGCCGACTGGGGCATCGACGGCTCGAGCCGCTACCCGTGCTCTCGCTTCGCCCTCGAGGCGTGCAGCTTGCCGCTCCCCTCGATGCAGCGGGGCGTGCTCGCAGGCGCGAACGGCCGCGGCCGCGGCAGCTGGCCGCACTGCGCCGCCGCGGCCGCCGCCAGCGAGGCGGACGCCGCGCGCGTGGCGTACGACTGGGTCGGGGGCGACGGCGCGCCGTACGAGTCGCACGCAGACATGTGGGGGCGGCCAAACTGGCCGCAGTTCTTCGGGTGGCTGTGGCAGGAGGAGCGGCTGTGGCAGCGGGTCCCGACTGACAGGCCGAGGCCCGCGGTGGCGCTCGTCTCGCACGGCTCCCTGCTAGCCGAGCAGCTGGGCTACGTGCCGCGCCTGGGCGCGGTGCACGTGCAGACGGTCCGGTTCGGGGAGGACCCGCTGGTCGGCCTCTCGCTCGGCCAGGAGCACACCGCCGTGGAGGCGCGCCCCGGCTGGCTTTGCCTCCACAGCTGCGAGTTTTGATATGTGGGAGTTGTGGTGTCTGCAGGAGTCGAAGGAGAGAGGCGGGGAGGTGGCGCTCTTTGTGAGCGCTCTCTGTACATCAGTATTGTGGTGAGCATCTGAGCTCTCATCCTCTCTCCACTATGTGCATCTGAGAGCCAAAGGAGGGAGGGAGATCGACATAAAAATACGCGGCCCAAGAAATCAATATACAATAACACCAGCCTCCTGCGGGGCCCCCCGCTACCATCCAAACCCGAGTACGGCTCTACAAAGCGCGCCTCCTGCGCGCAGCGCGCCTCTAGTACATGTTCATGAGAAGGGCACAGACAGCGGTCGCCGTCCTACTCCGAGGCGCTGTGCGCAGATGGTCTACGAAAATCATAGAGGCTCAAGTGACAAGTCCACACACACAGGCTCTGGCTGAGCAGGTTACTTCCCCCAGGATTGGTCTTCTCTGCCTGCGGGAACACCCTCGGGCGGCCGGGTGGGGCTGCGGCTGGAGCTAGCATGGCTCGATAGAGCCGAGACCCCGTGTTGAGGCGGCGCTCCTGTGGGCGGCTGTGGAATCGGCAGATTCGACCTCAGATCTCCAGTATTCTCATCCCAGTGGATGGACGTCCGGACGTCCCTTTGTGTTCCTCTCCCCGTCCGCCAGCGAGACGCTCAGTCGCTGGCGGCCGCAGTTTTCTGTGAGGTGGGAGGAGAGGAGAGGACAAGTGGAGATGGCGCAGCAGCAGGCTCCGCCAGCTGCGCTGGCTCCCATCGCCGTCGTCGTTGACGAGGTTCAGATCAACAGCGACGCAATGCTCGTTCTCGCTCCAGGTGCTCAGCACGTAAGGGACCACACGTCTTTCTTGAATTGGGCTACCGTGTACAACGGTGCAGCAGCAGTGGCCAGCTACACCCTGGGGCAGAGCGACGCCAAGGGCGCCTTCCTGCCGAGGTGCCAGTTCAGCGGGGACCAGCAGACAGGCACCCTCCTCGATGGGAATCACGTTCTCAATGTGTTTTTCAACGGAGCATTCTGGTCGCGGCTCTTGACCGCTCTGGATGCTGCAAACCTCTTCGCCACCTCCATGGAGAAGATCGGCGTGCTGCACCAGCGGCTCGCCGACCTGGTGATGGCCAACCCG